GCTCATAAGGTGATGCTTTAATCACTATCATAAAAAGGATAATTCTCGATGATAGAATTCATATAATGACGGGATATTCTAATTCCAAAAATAGATTCCATGAAGCCAACACAACCAAAGGTCAACCAGAAAAAGCTTGCATTTATAATGCAACCATTATTTTATATTTAATAGATTAAAAAAAACTACTAATTACATGATTTCTACTAAAAATATTTGGGTCGAAATTTTTCTCCCAAAAATTGTGAGTGAGTAAGCAATCCACTAGTCCTTAATCTAAAAGTGCCGTTTATCCCACATCGACCATGTAGAAATACTAATTTGGTTTAATAAAAGAGGCATTTACCTGTCGATTGCAAGCAGCCACAAGACGAAGAGATTGGGACCAAAACAGATGCGATACTTGCACTGTCAAACCCAGGAAAGTCCCCGGGCTCTAAAGTGCAGAGATGCACACTCGGAAACGAGGAATCTTCGAGTTGATGGGGTTTGTTCTTGCCTTGTGTAAGATAGGGCTGAGACAAGTGTGGAGCCCTTGACCTCATCCACCGAAGCAAGGTGGCCGAACTACACAGTTATTCGCTTGGTTCCCTGAGGACTAACAGAACGGGGCTTATCATCTTGTGGTTTTTTTTTTTTTTTTTTGGATAATGATTCAAGCAATTCATGAGTTGATTTACATTTTAAGCAAGCAATTTCATGAGTTGATTTACAATGGTCAAATTATGCCATAATAAGTCTTTTTTCTTGATTTGATCTACAATGAACAAATTATGCCTTAATAAGTCTTTTTTGTTTGCTTTATGATTCATATAAATTTAATTCATAATATTATAATTTTGATTTAAAATTTTAATATAATTATTAATTTCATTAAAATTGTTATTATTAAAATTATTGATGTGGGCATTGATTTTGTTAATGTGACATTAATTTCGCTGATGTTGCAATTTAGATATAGGAGATCAATTATCAAATTATACAAATGGTCATAATATTTACATAAAATTTAAACTTTAATTTATTTAATATAATTTATAAAAATATTATGCTTGTACAAGTTAAATTTGATAATATGAGTCTAATTATTAATAAAAGTTATATGTTTTATTTTTTTTAAATCATATTTTAAATTTTTTAAAATAAATATTTCAAAATTTTTGAATTATTCTATATTTTTGTAATATTAAATTTAATATATTTTTAAATTTTAAAATTTTTAAAAATCATATTTTAGATAAGATTTTTAAAAAATTAATATTTCAAATTTCTTAGATATTTTGCTGATTTTTAAAATATTAAATTTATTTTTTCAATAATTTAAATGTTTTTAAATAAAATTCATTTTTAGTTTTTACACTTTTTCAAAATTTAACACTTATTTGATCAAAATATTTAATATTTTGTTTCTTTTTTTAAAATTTTATATATTTATATGTTTTATTTTTTAGAAATTTTTTATTTTTTTAAATTTAAATGAAAAAAATCAATAAAGTAAGGAGAAGACACGAGTCTTCCAAATTTATTCTATTTTGGTATATTTGAAGTGAAAAAATTAAAAAAACTTGGGTAGAAATAAAGCAATGGTGAAGCATGAAAAGCTTCTAATTATGATGTATTCTTTTTTTGAATAATATAAAAAAATATGTTGAAAATTTTAAAATTTATAAACGCTTTTCTAAAACAAAAAAATATAAAAATTTTTGAAAAAAATAAATTTAAAATATAGAAAATTTCATGAAAATTCCAAAAAATTAAAAACAATAAAATTAAATATTTTGATTAAATAAAAATAATAAAATTTGTAAAATATAAAACCTTTAAAAATGAAATTTTAAAATTTAAAATATTGAAAAAAAAATTAAAATTAATATTTTTGGAAAATCTTAAAATTTTCTAACATCTAAATATTAATTTTTTTAAAAAATAAAATCTTATCTTAAAATAATAGAAATTTATTTTTTAAAAAATTAAAAAATTTTAATTTAATTTTTTTAAAAACATAAAAAAATTGTAAAAAATTTGGAATAATAAATTAAAAAAAATTAAAATATATGATTTTAAAAATTCAAAAAATATTAGTTTAATTAGTAATTGGACCAATATTATCAAATTTTACTTGTATGAATATGAGATTTTAAGAATCATAGTAAAAGGACTAAAGTTTAAATTTTATTTGAATACAAAAACCATTTTCATAATTTGACAGTTGATTTTATCCATCCAAATTATCATGTTAGCAAAATCAATGCCTATTTCATCAAATCAACAACAACATTAACTTTTTTAACAACTAAATTTGATAGAATTAATTATTGAATGAAGATTTGCAAATCAAAATATAATGAGAATTAAAATTATATGAACTATCGTATATTGACTAAATTTTTACGATGACAGAGTTAATGATTAGATTAAGATTATCAAATTAAAATATGATAAAGACTAAATTTCTATGATTGTAATATAAGAATTAAATTTCAAATTTTGGCAAAGTATAAAGACCTCATATAAAATTTGACCTTTTACACACTCTACAAACTCTTAATTTTATCATTATTATTTTATTTTCCTATTTTGACCGTTAGGGAATTTTTTGAATCAAAACCATTTAACTCTCTTTAGTTTGCAAATTTTTTATTAAGCACGACCATGGATAACCATTTTTGTCTCAAGATCATTTTTCTTCTTTAACATACAAATTGAATGAAAATCAAATATAAAATTTAATTTAATTAATTCATATAATTATTAGATGATATTCACGTTCACTAGGTTTAAGGTTCAAATGTTAACGGTTGCAGCCCTTTTTCGATCCCAAATTACATTATCTTTCATACAAAAAAAATTGTGAATGAAAATTGACGGAAAATGAATAATGCCTAATGTTTTTTGGGTAGGTTATAAGTTCCACCTGTATTTTACTAGAACTCCTACTCAATTTAGCTCTACGGAATTGGATAGTTTCAAATGTCAAAGTCTTTTTGTTTATGAAGCACGAACATGGCTTCAACCTCTCCATACCGGTGTCGTACTAGTATCCGCCACGAACACACCATCGACATGCCGAAATATGTATGGGACATGTCGGGTCACGTCAAAAAAATAAAAATCATGTTGGACACGGTCCCGAGACAGTCAAGACACGTTTGGACATGGTTAAGCGCCGAAAAAAAATGGAGGTTTGCATATATTTTTGTAAATCGAAGCTTTTCCTTTTTTTTGGATAATTTAACTGAATAGTAAGAACGAGGAGATTAAGACGAGTTTTCTGAGTTTTTTGGAGCCATTCTAACACTGGTGGACGGCAGCCGATGGTGGAGGATGGCGAGGAAGTGGCGGCCGATGACGGGAATTGTGTAAAGGGCGGGAGAAGAGAGAAGAAGAAAAAGAAAGGGAAAAAAAAAGGAAAGAGCAAGGAAATGGAAAAAGCAAGAGAAAAAAAAAGTGTATCCCTTTTGTCTTGATTTTGAGAAAGACATGTTTGGGGAAGAGTTTTCAATTTTATAAACCTTCTAATGGGAGACAATTTATTAAGTAATTGAGTCAAACATGACTCTTAACATTTTTTAAATAATTACATAAGATAATTATATATTTTATATATTTAAAAATGAATTCTTTTATTACATAATTAATAATATTTATATGTAAAAAATTATAAAATATCATCTTAAAATGAATTAAATTGAAAAAGAAATCATCATTAAAAAATTAAATAGTGAAATTTCTAGTTTTTGAAAAAATAACAATTATATAAATATTATACAAAGAAATATATAAATATTATACAAATAATTAATGGATAAATAATCATTATTAAGATAAATAAATAATTAATAGATAAATACAAAGAAATATATAATATTTATATTATACATGAAACATTGATAGCTAATTACATTGAGTAGCCTATGATATATTTTATGTAATGGCAAGAGAGTTTTGTGAAGAATTTAATTATATATTAATGAAAAATATCAAAATTTATATTTATATTAAATTTTTTTCACATAAAAAAATATAAAAGATAATTTTTTATTACCATATGCTGTCGTATCTATATTTTTATTTTTTAAAAAATATTCGTATTATTATATCTGTATTATACTTGTATTACATGTCCTAACTCGATAGCTTTTTGTTTTTGCAAGTGCAGGACATATAACGTGACTAGAAGAAAAGTCGGTGCTCACAAGTAGCAGAGGCCTCTCATTTTTATGTGGCTTTAGCTTTTTGAGGAGAGATTTGTGATCAGATTTGATATGTCCATACCTTTCTACAGTTTCAATATCAATGTCGGAGGCAGTTGAAATAAAACCACCAAAGGTCCAAAACCATTGGCAGCGAAAGAGACGGAGAAACAGCGGCACTGCAAAGCTGAAACCAGACAAAGTTTGTAGCAAAACATTGTCAAAAGAAAAATCGAAGCTTAATTAAATTGATTCACCATGAATTGGATAATGCTCGAAATGAAGTAGTTTCTGTAACTGTAATGGAATAATTTCTCCACCTACAGGAGACTAGTTAGACCATATATATATATATATATATATATATTTGTTATTCCGGAGCAAAAGTAACATTTTAATGCTTACAAAGTAAACTTCTGGTTCCGGTGGTAGTTTTAGCATGAAACTTCTTGATTGAAAATTTAGGTTGATTTATAACAGGTCAAACTGAAACAAGTAACAAAGAAGGCATGATTCTAGTCTTCATGTTGCAGACCTGTTCACCTCACAGTTTGGCACTACAATGATATCAAATTCAAATTGTGAGTCTGCAAGCGTTTGTCACATGAAAATACCAGTATCATCATGGAGGTAAACAAGCATAAGCATGAATCATGCTTTTATATGGGTTTGTAATACAAAGAATATAAAAAATGAAATGAAAGGGCAAGAAAAAGGAGGTATATTATGATACTTACAGAAGAAAACATAAAGGAAGGATATGTTGCATCACTTTCAGAACAATACAAGCATAATGCAAGAAAATGGTTTTGATAAAAATGAACCAATTTATTTGAAATCGTTCACAAGGTTCTGTCTGCCCATTCATAACACTCTTCTGGCAACTTTTTAGGAAGGAGCAAGAAAGGAAGAGGCAGAAATGGGCCCTTCTATTGAAGTAATGTGTACATTCACATTAATTACTCATTTCTTCCTAAAACATTTCATTTCTTGATTACAAAACCGAATAAATCACTAAACAGTGACGATGGGGAAAATTGATTTGATCTTACACAGCAACTGGGATAGCTTCATCCAGGGCAACGACACCCGGAAGCTCCTTCCCTTCCAACAATTCCAAACTAGCACCACCCCCAGTTGATATGTGGCTCATCACGCTAGCAACTCCAACTTTTTCTACAGCAGCAACAGAGTCTCCACCTCCAATGATTGTTGTCACTCCCTTGCCACTAAGTTCTGCTAGCTTCTTTGCAATAGCCTACAAGCAGAAAGCAGTCTTAATATCCATCCACATTTTCAATGAAAACATAAAGGAAAAGTAGTCATGTCATAACCCTGCCACTCCCCTAGAGATTGAGAGGGATCAGAAGCATATTCATTAAAGGTTGGCAACTTCTAAGCATAATCTTAAATCACTATTTCAAATTAGGGTTAGTAAATGTAATTTTATAATTTACAAAGGTAATTGAAGGAAGGCATTGCGTCAGCTAGTTTGGTCTAGAAAGCAAGTAGATATTAACTTAAAACCGTATATAACTAGTAGAAAAGAGATACTTTAAACCTATGCCTGCAATAACCACCAAGTGCTAAAGCCATAGTCAAGGATTTTAAGCATACCTCTGTCCCAGTGGCAAACTTTTCAAATTCAAACACTCCCATCGGTCCGTTCCAGATGATGGTTTGAGTAGTATCCAAAGCTTCATTGAAGGTCTTAATAGAATCTGGTCCAATATCCAATCCCATCCAGCCATCACGGATGGCAGATGCTGGCACAATCTGCAAGAAGCAAAATTTCCATTCCTTGCTCATAATACTACTAAAAAGACAAGGGCATAAAACGTAATATAAGTACAGTTTCTTTCCAATTACAGTTCCAAGCTACTGTGATTACTGGGCTTCCTTTCGCACAGATTGCATTACAAACTTTGCAGGAGTAGAAAGTAGAAACAAACCTGGCTGTTTGCATCAGGGGCGAACTTGTCTGCAACAACCACGTCAGTGGGTAACAAAAGAGACACTCCTTTTGCCTTGGCTTTAGCAAGGAGTGATGTTGCAAGGTCAAGCTTATCGTCCTCTACCAGGGATGAACCAACTGATAGACCTTGTGCCTTGTAAAATGTGAAAATCATACCACCACCAAGAAGGAGAATGTCACATTTCTCGAGGAGTGATTCAATGACTCCAATCTTGGAAGAGACCTTAGAACCACCCACAATGGCAGCAAATGGCCTTTTTGGGCTTGAAACTGCACCTACAAGGTAGTCCAGTTCCTGAATAAGATAGAAAGCAAATGAATATAAGCGGAAGCTAAAACCTAAAAAGGTAACAACAACAATAATAAATAAATAAATAAATGAAAACCTCATAGTAGTTTTAATGTAATTTCTGAATTAAACCAATGATAATTTACTTGAAAAGATGTCTATTTGAACACAGCAATTGAAAATAAACAAACCTTCTCCAACAACTTCACAAGGTAATAAAATGCTGGAATCCTACCTTTTGTAAAAGGAAACCAGCAACTGATGGCTTCAAGAATTTAGTAACACCCTCAGTTGATGCATGGGCTCTGTGTGCAGTCCCAAATGCATCATTAACGTAGAGATCAGCTATGGAGGCAAGTTTCTTTGCAAATTCAGGTTCATTCTTTTCTTCCTCCTTGTAAAATCTAACATTCTCAAGAAGAAGAACACCACCTTCAGGAAGTGAAGCAACTAACTTTTCTACTTCCGGACCAATGCAGTCATCTGCCTTAACAACCTGTTCAGTTAATGTGGGTTAAAGTCATATAATAGATGTACTACACATCTTATAATTGGAAAAAGTTCCAGGCTTTCTTTCCAGGAAAATGATTACCTGAATGCCAAGTAGTTCAGAGAGCCGGGGAACAAGGGGAGCCAAGCTGAATTTGGGAGTAACACCCTTTGGCCGTCCCTGAAAAATCAATGAACCACTACTTCAGTTCTTACAGCTCAAGCCCCAATGGTTAAGTACCAAATATGCTGCACATAGGAGGGTGAAATGCAAACATAGTTATGAGGAAAACCAAACACATGCATATCATGACCACGATAATTCTTGCTTCAAACAAAATGTTACAATATCACGGTGAATGCACACATCCTGACCAACAGTTTATGTATACATCAAAAAGAACATCATAGCATCAGAAGTATACAAGAAAAGAAATAGAGCTGAAATAGAAATTTCACTAAAAGCACAGTCTTTACATAAACTATATGGTCACTAACCTTGAAGGTTTAAAGCTTAATTTAGCCATCAAACTTTTTCAACATATGCACTTAGGCCATTGGACTCTATTTGGTTCAATCGAACTTTGAAACTTAGTTTTTCATCCAATTATATATTGATCTCATCCAATTTATATTGAGCGATGAGAATTGATTCAATTAAGCCAATTAGCCATGGAATGACATAAAGCTCAACAATATAAGAATTATAGTGTTATTAATCAACTTACCAAGTGGCTAGAGAGAATGACTTTAGCTCCATTCTGAATCAAATGCTTGATGGTGGGAACAGCAGCACGAACCCTGGTGTCATCTGTAATGTTCTGGTTATCATCCAATGGAACATTCAAGTCAACCCTCACAAACACTTTCTTGCCTTTCAAATCAGCTCCACTCAAGTCCCCAACACTCTTCTTCGCCATTGAAACAACCAATCTCGATCCTTTTCCCTTGAAAGATCGGAGTTTGGAGGAGACATGAAGGGAAAGCAAAGAGTCCCCAGAAGCAGCGGAGGAGAAGCCTAGGCTCTGACGGAGAGAAACGGATTTGTGGGGGTGGCGCGTAGGGATGAGGGTTGCAGGAGTGCGCGTGGCAGAGGACGTCGGGGTGGAGGCGGTGGTTTTAAGGAGGGAGAGAGTGGTGGAAGTGGTGGCTGAAGCCATCGCGTTAGAAAATGATGTCCCAAAGAGAGAGGCGCTCAGAAGTTGTGTTTTGATGGTGGGGAAGGGTGTTTAAGTAAATGTGGGTAAGAATGGGGGAAAGATGTGGACGTAAAGAGCATAGGGGGAAACGATTGGATGTGAGTGTGGGGAAATCAGATTTCTCTTATCGTTGAGGAGAGGTTGAAGATGTTCGATGCTTTTGAGATTTGCCCCATACTCCCTCACTCTTTTCTTCGTCGGACTCTTCTTTCTCCTCCACTTACATTTTTCCTTTTCTTGTTTGTAAATTTCTAATTTCTATCCTGCTTTTATTAGTAAACTAATTTAATCTCAATAGGCACTTAAAGCCAAAAAAAAAAAATTTCATTATTTCCATTTAAATTTAAATATTTATGATGTAGGGTATTTATGGGCACCCAAAAAATTAAAATTAAAAAGTTTTGAAGGATATTTTTTTCTTAAACATCTCAAAATTTGAAAATAAGAAAATTTGAACAAAAATTTTCTTTGGACACACTTAAAATTTTTCGTGAGCACTCTTTCTATCAATAAAATTAATAAATATTATAATAATCTTTTATATATTATAAATAGACATTTTTTGAAAAAAATTTAAGATTCGTCATTACATATATTTATGGACCTTCTCATTTTTTTTAATTTTATAAAATATCCGTCACAAATATTCAAACATTGATAACCTTAGGCACTCTATCTTAATCTTTCTACTCATAAAATTTATAACTTCTTTACATATTTTTCTCCTACTTAATCTTATTAAAACTCTCACTATTTATAAGTTTTGCTCACCAAACATCATTTTTTTTTTGGAATTACAACCTTATTAAGTATTTTTAGTTATCAAATAATGTCTATGAACAAATCTCTTAGAAGCGTTTAGTTTACGAAATTTTAGATTCTATGAAAAAATATGATTCTCGAAAAAATGTGAATTCCTAGAAGAGGTAATTTTTATTGTTAGATTTTTGTATTTGGTTGGGAGAAGAGTCAGATTACTTGATCATGTATTTTGACTATAATATCCTTCACTACATAACAAACACAACAATTTTTAACAAAAATATTCAACAAATAATGCATTTCAAATCGTAGAAACACATTATTCGAGTGTCAAATTAGAAAAAAAAATTAGCCCTCAATTACTGTGTTAATTCATGTAGTAATTGATTATACACATGTTTTAAAAAAATTACAATGAACAATTATTGCGTTAAGCTTTAAATAAACATTGTAATTGATTTTTTAAAAAATTAAAAAGAAAAATTATTACATTTAACTTTAAAAGGGTATAGTACTTGATTGTTTTAAATAAATTATAATGACCAATTACTACATTTGTCTTCAAAAAATGCAATAATTGAGCTTTTTACACAGTTTAAAAAATTTACAATTAACAATTATTGCATTTAGCTTTATTGAAACATAGTAATTTATTATTTTACAAAAATTACAATGAATAATTACTATATTTAGCTTAAAAAAATGCAGTATTTGATTATTTTAAATAAATTACAATGATCACTTACTACGTTTATCTTTAACGAAACGTAGTAATTGAGCTTTTTAAATGCTTTAAAAAATTACAATGAACAATTACTATGTTTAATTTCATTAAAACATAGTAATTGATTATTTTACAAAAATTACAATGAACAATTACTGCTTTTAGCTTAAAAAAATGTATAATTGAGCTTTTTAATTAACAAATACAAGAGAATCCTTGAACTCACTATTTAATCAACCTTTTCTACAAAAAGACTAACTTTAAACCCCATAACCCTTGGTAGCACTCCCTTGTCGCTTTGTTTTTGTCGCCGTTGTCGTCGCCATTGTAACATTTTCATCCCTTACCATCAATTGAGGTAAATAAACTTGAATTGATAGCTTGTTTTTGTTATCTATTTCTTTAATCATGAGTGAATTTTTTTACTTTTTCAACATTGTCAATCTACCTATTATGTTTTGTTCATTAAATAGATGATGGAATAACCTAATATATATGCACTTTACTTGATAGAACTAATTTAAAGAGCATCATTGTAAGATTTTGAATGTTTTATGAATAATAAGTGTTAATGGTTTTCCCATTGTTTATATAACTCAACAACACATAGTTTTATATTAGTTTACGGTACATGGACAAATGATTTTCAATAGTCCAAACAAGGATACTTGTAACATAAGCATTTATGTGTTTAAGTTCAAAATCCTTTTCTCAACTTTTGTGTACATTTGATCATTTTTAAATTCGATAATTGATTAGTCATATACAAGCTAAATTGTAATCATGCATCCCTAAATTATCTCATCGAAGCTACATGTGATAAAAAGAACATGCAAACATGCTTTATGATTATTAATGTATCTTGTGTTTGTATATTATAAGTTATGTTGTAACAGAGCTTATCAATATCAATTCATAATTAACTTAATTATAAGTATGCCCCTACTCATTTAATTCTGAATGGAGATTTGAATACATTAAATTATGAAGAATGCTTACTAATTAGTGTTAAATGGTTGTTGGGATGAAAGTTCGATGCTATCAAATATGTTACTTTAATTTATAATATGCTACTTTTTTGGTTGTTTGCTTAGTGAATGCTTCATTGTTTTGCTTTTGCTTGATGCTTATGTTTTGCTTGATTACCTTTTGGTTGATGATGCTTGCTCCTTGTTTGTTCCTTTTCCTTAATAAATTGATATATTCAATATTATTTTATGCTAATCTCGTTCAATATTTAAATTCGTATAGATTATTTGATATTATGGCTTTAAAAAAACACATGTCAACCTTTACAGAGCATGAGAAAGAACATTTAGTTGACATATCCTCTTTAAAGAAAAAAAAAGCTAGGGATATGAAAAGTTGCTTTAAGCAATTGAAAAAAAATACTTGTTGACCTCAATACAGATGGGTAGCCTGTGTTAAGTGGTGCATCAAAGATGGCTAATCATATTGGATGTGTTGTTCGACAGATAATACCTATAAACTATGATAGTTAGAGAAGGTTTCAACAGATTCAAAGAACCGTATATGAGATTCGGTTAGAGTAAGTTAAAATAATCAAATAGAAACTTATTGATCATTTATGTTTATTGTGTATGAAATGCAATTATGCTTGTTAACATCTCTTTATTTAATCTTTTATAGGAACGTTTTAACGTCTCAATTAAGTATAAAAAGTTTATATTGCAATTTGCTGGGTTAAAATTCAAAAATTTTAAAAGTAGATCAACAACAAAATATATTTTACCATATACTGACATTGTTGAATTGTTGGCTCATCCACTATCTACATATTCAAATGTTATCAGTGATGAATAGTAGACAAAATTTGTTTCAACTCATTTATCAGATGAATTTAGTATATGCGTAGCAATCTTTTTATTTTTATAATACATTATTTAAAGTGAGATCTTTATTCTTTTGTTATTGATTTTGTTTTTGCAAAAAATAAAAAGACGTCCAAAAAAAATACGAGCCCAAAAAATGTATCCCCATCGAGCAATGAAAAAGTGGTATGCAAATATAAAGCATGAACTTGTAAGTATTTTTAACTAGTTATTATGCACATGATTTATGATTTTAAAATTCATTTAATGAAGTTACCAACTTATATTTTTATATGGTTTCAGGAAACATCTAGCTCAAATAACGAAATATCAAGATGGGATGTTTAAAAAAAAAATGCACATAAGTTAAAATCTGAAAACTATGAAAAGGAAACAACTAAACAAATGAGTAAAAAGATTGTATGTTCAGTTAGTATTTATATCTCATTTACTATATCGCCATTTATGCATGTTAATATATTGTATTTATTTATATTTGCATGTTGTATTTTAGGATAATATTGCTATGAGATTCACATCTAGTGAAATTTCAATTAGTTCTGGTGAAAATATGATGATATACACTTTCGGTTCAAAGATGTACCTGGCCGTGTTAAGGGGGCTGTGAGCTTTGTTTCTCTAACAAATTATTTCAAAACTTAACCTAAACCCGCACCTTTAAGACTGTTAAATATGAAGCCATAATAGAGTAACAATAGCAACGAATTACTGAAATGGAGGTACAATTGCATTAAAGTAAACTAACACGATTCTGGGTCAGTCTTTTATCAATAATGTTGGAAATGAATTCATGGATCAAGTGTTTGAGCAAACCCTTTTTTGATGATCATTATTCTTGTGATATTTGTGAATTTATTTTTTTATTGATGTTTGCAATTGATTTTTGTATGTAACAGGTTTTCAGCCTCAAATAATCTGACATATGGAATTTAGTATACATGCATTATCCAATTATGCACATTAGCATTTACTAAAAAGATTGATCATTAACATTGATCTTGAGGATGGACTATTTGATTATCCTTTAATATTGTGGATTAGGTAGTAAGAGATTCTTAAATTTTGTGATATGAGAAAGATATTAGCTACAAAAATTATTATGTACATGAAGTTAGCTTATATATTCATTTAAATATATATGATGAATATATTTTCATATATTGTGTATAATGTTATGATAATTGAATTTTTTTCATCATTCAACCTCCTTTACAAAGGTTTAAAAGAAAGACAAATGGTTAATACTTACAGATTCATTGACCCAAATCGTATCAATCATGGTGTTAGCTCTGTAAATGTTCATGCTAGTACTTTGGCTCAAGCATTACAAAAATAGTCCTAATACTTTATGGTGCCTTATAATCCTACATATGTTAATACTTTGTTAATTACTTGACTATGTTTGATATAAAAATTTTATACTTGTTACAAGTATTACATTCTAACATTAGAGATGTGACTATGATTTGTAATGGTCATCGGTAGCTAGTTGTTATTAAGTACACAACATTTACGGTTTACTTTTTGTACTTGAAAAAAAAAGAGTCGAAGCCTAAACTCAAGTTAGTCAATATAATAAAGAGGTATTCATCTTTGTTATATGAACTAATTTCTGTTATATTTACAAATTTTTTTTATAAGTATAATTTATGTTTATGTGTTCTTTTTTGTTGTTTCAGGAGATTGGCTACTGTTGATAAAAAGAAAAAAATAAATTGGATTACATTTTTGGTAAGTGTCAAATTTTTTTTATTTGTTTAAAAACAGTTTAACTACCAACAACCTTTTTGCAAGTTCTTCGTCAACCAAAATGACAGAATGTGGATATTATATCTTTTTTTTTTATTAAAGAGATTGTTATTAATGATCTTATGAGAACAACATATAAGGTTAGCTTAAATTTAAACTACTGATACCTGTTTCTATTAACCATAAT